TGACAAACTGTTTCGTCGGAGTTTCACCGACTCATCAGGAGGCTGAACCCTCAACAGTCTGCAGAATCCCCTCACTGATTACACTGTAAATGATAATCTACCTTAACCAAAATCAAAGTAGATATATATATATATATATATTGTGCATACATATATATTGTCACATGATATCAGAGCGCCAAAACGAAAAAACAGAAAGAAAACAAGGAAAACAAAAAAAACTTAATTCGTTTTTAATATATATATATGTGCAGGAGTGAGCTGCAGGATTTGAATTGGATTTTGAGGCAGATTGAGGGGAAAGAACTGGATCGGGGTTGGGATCGGGGGGGATGGAAGAGGACAGGGTGGCCACACAGGAAAGGACAGCGGGCGACCGGCGGGAGGAACGGGGTCGGGATTGCCGGAGGAGGCAGATTGTCGCGATTGGTACTGTTATGCGTGTGTTCTGGAGAAGATCAAGTGTAATTTCTGTTATGATCGTGTTTTTTTTTTTTTTTTTCAATGAATTCTCTTCTTTATTTTTTTTTACAGGAAACTATAGCAAAATTGAAATTCCATTATGCCACAAAATTAAAAAAAAAAAAAAAAAAAATCCCGAAAGAAAGGATTCGCGGCAAGTACAAACGGTTCATCTGCTCACACGTAGACCTGTTTTTTTTTTTCCCTCCTCAAAAACACTCTCCCTGCTGTTCAATTACGTGTGCTCCTTTCCAACCCTTGGCCATTTCATCCAAGTCCATCACCATCGCCGCCACTATCACCATCACCCTGTTCTCTTCTTCTTCTTCTTCTTCTTTGATGCGTTTCATCCTTGCACACAAGGCCCGTGCTACAGTAGTCTTCTCTATATCATTCCAATTTTAACGGATGTCCCGAAGGACTCTTCTTCTTCTTCTTCTTCTTCTTCTTCTTCCACAATCTCGCTTCCCACCCACCCCAACATCGTCTAAAAAATTCGGTTGCCGTCATCTCTTTGCCATGATCACCATCTTCTTCTTCTTCTTCTTCTTCTTCTTCTTCTTCTTCTTCTTCTTCTCCTCCTCCTCCTCCTACTACTACTACTACTTGATAATTCTCTCCTTCTTCTTCTTCTTCTTCTTCTTCTTCTTCTTCTTCTTTTTGTTGGGCGGTGCCGCAAGGCGTAGTTTAGGGAGAAGCCCCCTGAGGAGTGAGTGCCAGGAGCGCAGGCTGGCCGAAACGCGTCGGGGAATTTGCGCTGGCGTTTTCAACTGAGAACTGTACATGCGGGCGGAGAAGTATTGAAATATCTTGTCGATGAGTGTGCGAGAAGCAGTCGATGGCCACTGTTTTTCACCCATATTCTTCTTCTTCTCGCCCTCCCCCTCTTCCCCTCTTTTACCTTGCCCCTCGCCTTCGCAACCCCATTGTCATTAATCATTTCCATAACATAATCCCCTCCTCGCCCACGCCTCAGACACTCCGCAAAGCCCGTTCACCCTCCTCCTCCTCCTCCTCCTCCTCCTCCTTCTCCTCCTGCTGCTGCTGCTGCTGATAACTTGACGAGTAACAGAAACATTGTAGATAACAAACAAATCCCCAAGAGTATTAATTACAGGAAAATAAGTAAAGAAAAGAAATAATTCACGCGGCCGCACTGCGATGAGCGGAGGAGAAAGATCTGGATCACGAGGAGAGGGAAGACGGGGATCGGGATCGGGAGGAGGTGGAAAAGGAGGATATGGGTTGAGGTGGGGGAGGAGAAGAATGCGGGTCGGGAAGAGGGGGAAACGGAGGATAGGCATAGCGAGGAGGGGAGGAGCAGAATCGGGATAAAGGGGGGGGAAGGAGGATCGGGATGCCGAGGACGGGGGAGGAGTTGAATCAGGATTGGGAGGAGAGCCAATGGGAGGATAGCTATCTCGAGTGGGGGCAGGAGCGGGATCAGGAAGAGGTGCAGGGGGAGGCGCAGGAGGAGGATCGCAATCCCGAGGACGGGGAGGAGCCTGTAGATTGGCATTGCCAAGTTGGGAGGAGGAGTATGGAGGATGGACATCGAGAGAAAGGAGAAGATGAGGATCGGGATCGGGAGGTGGGGAAAAGAAGGATAGGGATAGCGAGGAGGGAGAGGAAGGGAATCACGAGGAGCGGGGAAGGAGAATATAGATCAGGAGGGGGAACAGGATCATCGGGATTCCGAGGAGGGGGAGGAAGAAGAGGTTCAGCACCGCGCGAATAGACTGGAGGACAGTCGGTATCCGGAGGAGCGGGAAAAGGAGGATCGGGATCAGGTGGAGGGGGATAGAAAATAAATACAACAGATTACTTACTTCATTACCCAAAAGGGTTAACCAAAAAAACAATAAGAACGCACACGCCAGTATTGCGAGGAGGGAAGGAGGAGAATCTGGGTCGTGAGGAGGGGGAGGACGAGGATCGGGATCTGGAGGAGCGCGAAAGGACGATAGAGAACACGAGGAGGCG